TTTTATCAATTATTGCATAAAGATAAAAGAACATCTAACGCAATGGCGTGCGCCACCACTACGGCATCACGTGACTTCTATAAATAGCGAAATGTTCCTTAATAAACAAGAGGCCCAGGGGCCACAGCGCTCACCTGAGCAAATCAGCTAGGAAAAAACACATATAAGATCAGAACTGAAAGTTAATTTAAGTTGGGGTGGGTGGGTTGAATTTTAACCCCCAAGGGGATCATAATTTGAACGAACTAGAATCTACATTACCTGAGGATGATTCCCTACAAATATTACTAATCCTGGCTTTGAAGTACTTGAAAAGAAGATTTTAAAAGGTTTCCCTATATATTTCTAAGTAAAACTTTGGTCGGCCATTTTGGCCACATCCTTACCCCGGGGTCATGACCTGAACAAACTTGAATCTACACTACCTGAGGATAATTTCACATGAGTTTCATCTGTCCTGTTTCAATGGTTCTTGAGAAGAAGGTTTTTAAAGATTTTTCCTATATATTCCTATGTAAAACTTTGATCGGCCATTTTAGCCCCGCCCTACCCCCGGGGGTCATGACTTGAACAAACTTGAATCTACTCTACCTGAGGATGATACCACATGCGTTTCATCTTTCCTGGCCCAGTGATTCTTGAGAAGAAGATTTGTAAAGATTTTTCCTGTATATTCCTATGTAAAACTTTGATCGGCCATTTTGGCCCCGCCCTACCCCCAGGGGTCATGACTTGAACAAACTTGAATCTACACTACCTGAGGATGCTTCTACATGAGTTTCATCTTTCCTAGCTCAATGGTTCTGGAGAAGAAGATTTTTAAAGATTTTTCCTATATATTCCTATGTAAAACTTTGATCGGCCATTTTGGCCCCGCCCTACCCCCAGGGGTCATGACTTGAACAAACTAGAATCTACTCTACCTGAGGATGATTCCAAATGAGTTTCATCTTTCCTGGTCCAGTGGTTATTGAGAAGAAGATTTTTAAAGATTTTTCCTATATATTCCTATGTAAAATTTTGATCGGCCATTTTGGCCCCGCCCTACCCCCGGGGGTCATGACTTGAACAAACTAGAATCTACTCTATCTGAGGATGATTCCACATGAGTTTCATCTTTCCTGGCACAGTGGTTCTTGAGGAGAAGATTTTTTAAAAATGCCGATAATTTTTCTCTAAATCTTGATTATCTCCCCTTGGAAAAGGGCGTGGCCCTTCATTTGAGCAAACTTGAATTTCCTTTACCCAAGTTGAGTTTCATCTTTCCTGGCACAGTGGTTCTTGAGGAGAAGATTTTTTAAAAATGCCGATAATTTTTCTCTAAATCTTGATTATCTCCCCTTGGAAAAGGGCGTGGCCCTTCATTTGAGCAAACTTGAATTTCCTTTACCCAAGGATACTTTGTGCCAAGTTTGGTTAAAATTGGCCCAGTGGTTCTTGAGAAGAAGATGAAAATGTGAAAAGTTTATGACAACAACGACGACGACAGACGACGGACAAATTTTGATCAGAAAAGCTCACTTGAGCCTTCGGCTCAGGTGAGCTAAAAAGCTAACAAAACAACAATACCCCGGAGTTTATTAACTTCTTTGAGTAAATAATATAATCGAAAAACATCTATTTTAACTAAAAAGTGTTGCTAGAATCCAACTGTCCTGTCAATAAAATAATGATTCCACACATCTGCACGAAACCTAACCCGATGTTTGAATTTTAAACATATGAACCGAGAATTTTCGTAAAACCATGCTTAACTCGGGATTCTAGCAGCACTTTCCAAGTATTTTAGAAAGCGAACTTTTCATCTGTACAAATCTTATGTTTTGAAATATCCAGCTTATTGTTGTTCTATGGCATTATTTTTGTCATGAATGACCGAGGGAAGGCCGACTTAGATACAGATATAGCTGACTGTCTTCGAGAGAGAATATAATTGATGCAAAATGAATTAGCATACCTGTTTATGTAACTGAACTCCATATGGATTTCACATAATATTCCCGATATTTGCTTTTTAACTTCTTTTTACGTATATCTTTGTACATGCCGTGTTGCAACCACGTGCACTATTGAAATAACGACCACTTTTGAAATAATTATATCAATAGTGGTTGAGAGTGCATTTCAATAACAGAAAAAGTTAGTATCCACTATTGAAATACAGCCACTATTGAAATAATTCTATCAATAGTGGTTGAGAGTGCATTTCAATAACAGACATAGTTAGTATCAACTATTGAAATACAACCACTATTGAAATAATTATTTCATTAGTGGTTTAGAGTGCATTTCAATAACAAACATAGATAGTAACCACTGTTGAAATACGACTACTATTGAAATAATTATTACAACAGTTGGTAAGATTCATTTCATAACAAACATAGGTTGCAACCACTATTGAAATGAAAATCACTTTTAATAAGGTTTCAATATGGATAAATTTATTGATTTCAATAGTGCTTTGAACAATGAATCCAATATATATTGTAATAATTTTTTCAAACGTTGCTGACGTGGTGAAAGTTTTTTTTCCTATAGTGCTCATATTTCAATAGTGGTCAAAACCTATGGTTATTATATAGAAATGCACTCTCACCCACTATTGAAATAATTCTTTCAATAGTGGTTACTTACATGTAGTATATCTGTTATTGAAATGCACTCTGAACCACTATTGATATAAATATTTCAATAGTGGTCGAATTTCAATAGTATTTACTAAGTATGTTTACTATTGAAATGCACCCTTAACCAGTATTGATATAGTTATGTCAATAGTGGTCGTATTTCAATAGTGGTTACTTAGTATGTTTGCTATTGAAATGCATCCTTTTACCACTATTGATATAATTATTTCAATAGTGGTTGTATTTCAATAGTGGTTACTAATTGTGTTTGCTATTGAAATGCACTCTCAACCACTATTGATATGATAATTTCAATATAGCGGTTGTATTTCAATAGTGGTTACCAACTATGTTTGCTATTGAAATGCACTCTCAACCACTATTGATATAATTATTTCAATAGTGGTTGTATTTCAATAGTGGTTACTAACTATGTTTGCTATTGAAATGCACTCTCTACCACTATTGATATAATTATTTCAATAGTGGTCGTTATTTCAATAGTGGTTGCAACAATGCCGTCTTAGCCAAATTCTCTGCACACGACACGATGAATTCCCAAGTTACTCGATGAACACATATGACGTTATCGTTGTTAGATTTTAATCAAATTGACAGATACAGCATAACAAAATGAAAACATCTTATTTTGTTAATTTTTACACGTTTCAATTTATTTCCCAGAGTTAAATTACATCTCTAAATATCAATATTATTACGAAAATCTGTGTTCTAAAATTGACGTCATCTCGCCCACTATGACGTCATAATGTTTCAGTGACTTAGTCAAGGAATAATATTCTGTATGCTTCCTTATCACCGCTGCGTAGATATGATGAGCATGGCTGTCTCTTTCCAAACTGTGAAATTTATGGCCCCTGAGTCAGTGTTTCTGGTGTTGGGGCGGTGTTCTACTGTTGATTATTGAAAATACATAAATTCTTTAAAAATCCTTTCCTATGATCCTGGGTATTAAATAAACTAACTAAGAACATAGTTATGATGAGTAGCCTCTTCAAAAATTGAGAAATACATGGTCACAGGCTCAGTGACTCTTGTGTCAGAGTGGGACTCTTTAATTGTGGCTATGGGGAGAGGATCGTACATTTTGGCCGTGGTTTGCGACAATGTGAGGCTATTCAGCAGAGGATATTCGTAACAATGCTTTCGCTGAGAGGAAAAATGACAATCTTTATCTTTGAAATCTTTGATTGAAACTGATTAATTTTGAAAGATATGTATGCTAAAATCTTATTACTGTAATGCTTGTGAATAATTTATAATATTGTGCCTAACAATCGGAGATCAGCGCTATTAAATGATTTCTGTATCATCCGTCCCTCTGAATAACTGCATGTTCTAAGCTGTCCTCTTCATAATAACATTTGCACAACATAGCTTGGACACTTTTTGCAGACTGTAGGACTTTAAAAGTGACGTACTTTCGTTTTTGAAAAGGAAGTCGGCAACAACGGAAAAAATCAACGTTCTGTGATTCTTCTAGCCTGCTTTTAATGAGACATGTATATTTCATTTGTATGTGTCATGTAAGCAAAACAAGGTTAATGTTATTTGGGAGGGGTTCCAAATTACTAAAATATAAGATTTGCACATGCCTTAAAATTAAATGATGCATTTAATATGCGTAGATTGTCTTATTCCTGCTAACTTTTATCTTTTTATTTAAATTGCCAATTTCAAGATCTTAAGTTCATCAAATGTGTTTTATAAGTTTCTTTTTCCATTACAAACGTACCTATCCACCTAACCATTTAAAACAGTATAAACTTGCACCTTTAGTCAACTGCATGATTACTGAAAGTTATCGAATTATGACTGAATTACGGAGTTCTGATATTCAATTAACCTTTTGCAGTCTTTCAGTCAACTTGTAATTGTCCCTATCAACAAAAATGCCTTGTATTGATCATGCATTAATATGTAAACTGCAGTTATTTTTTAAGACATTGATTAATTGTATTATGCTTAACGTCCAATTCGAGAATATTTACTCATGTAGAGATCTTTCCATATACCGATGAAGGGCTTCAAATTTTGACCTTAACACTTGACCCAAACCTCAACTTTCTCTGCAAGTGCTGAGCTCTTGGAGAAAGAACAGTTTTTCCCATGTTTTAATAGACGTAGGTCAGTCGCGGCCGAGAATCGAAATCACTCTCTCCTGATTGTGGAGTGAAAGATCTACCGACGTATAATCCTAAATATAAAACTGAAGGGAAATTGTGCTATGTTTAAAATTCATTTTTGCTTAAGTATAATGAATGTTGAGATAAGTCATTATAAAAAAAAATAACAGGACCTTTGTCCTCGTTATATAAATTTTTAATTTTCATCTTCTTTTTTGATTAGTCATGAGACAAAGGGGAAGATATGCTGGATTTTCTCTTTACCTTTCAAATTCAACTACAAAAGAAGAGGGATATATGTGCTACAAAGACGGACCAGATTTACCTCCCTTAAATTTCACGACAAAATGTGTAGGATACGGACGATTTGTCATCTATTACAATGAAAGACTGAGTGGAGTAAAGTATCCAGAAGGTTATGAAGAAATGTCTTACTCTCAGTTGTGTGAAGTCATAGTTGAAGGTAAATTCAAAGGAGTTATTTTTTTTTTATCTTTTTTTTTTTTAATTTTGTTGTTTGTCAGTTAAGGAATATTTCTTTAACAGGATGCTCTTCAGGAAAGTATGGAGAAAATTGTAAAATGAATTGTTCTCCAAATTGCTTTGGAACTTTATGTGATATTATCGATGGTAAATGTATGAAATGCAGGCCGGGATGGGAGGGAGAAAAGTGTCAATCATGTAAGTCGAATTTTCATGTCATAAATTGATTTTCCATAGATAAAACTCTTATTGATTTCTAAAATTTTGCTTGTTAAAATAGCTTGCCTTAAAGAATCGTACGGTCAGGACTGTAAATTTCGATGTTCAGGACATTGTAAAGATGGACAGTCATGTGACCACGTGACGGGTGAATGTGTCAAAGGATGTGTCTTGGGATGGACAGGATCTATGTGTAATAAAAGTAATGTAGAATACGTGAATTAGATTTCTTGTAAAGGATATAAGCAACATAGTTTGAACTTACTTGTAATTTTCCCTTAAGGACATACACAAAGTACCTGGCCTACTTATAATTTTTCAAAATACATGTATTCTGAATTTAAACTTACAATACCATTACATGTTCTTAAGCAAAAAAATCAGCATGCGTTACCAGGGGTTTTGAAAATATCTCAAATTGTGAAAATTTTCGCATTATTCAAAGAAAAATGAACAAAAATAACAAAACATAAATTCCACATTTTTTCATCAAAATTGTTTAAGAAGAAGTGCACATATCCATATATAGACATTAAAAGTATTGTACACGGGTCATTCATTTAATGGAACTCTTCAACTTCAGGGAAGAACCCAATAAAGTTCACACTACATTGCGTATGACCTTACGATGAAGAGTACTGATAGACATAGTATAATTTTTAAAGAATGTTCCGCTATATTTTATTTTCTCAATATGCTCTTGTTCACTTCTTTAAAACAAGTTTGGATAAAGAAAACACAAAGAATCCTTGTATCCATGTTCATAAAATATCCAATATATGCAATGTTATATTATGCAAAATAATAATCATCAGTGATAAAATGTATCATGAAAAAGAAAAAAATCCACGTTCCTAGTGAGAGCGAATTCTATCAATTATAGCACTGTTCAATGATACAATGTTAATGACATGTTACATGTAAACACATGTCATCATAATCTGATGCTAATGAGTTCACTTTATGTGTTATCCTGTACATGATAAAGACTATTAAAAAGTTTCAATTACATTTTATTTATCTGGTATCTAAGAATAAATCTACAAGGTATTACTGTAGAATCATCATTGTTCATGGGGGACCAATGTTCGTGGATTTCATAGGTCACCCTTACCAAAAAATTAACACCCCCAAGAACTTTCATTTTGTAACGTTACATTCATTGAACCATCGTATTTATGAGTAATCCACGAAATTACGTCTCAAAGAACAGGACAAGTTCTGCCTACTGACGAACATTGACCCCTACAGATTAAACTGATTTCCTCAGTAACTAATCTGAAGCTTAAGACTGATTTAGGAATCGCATGGTTTTCAAAGTAACACTGATGTAAGAAATGTATCTTTCAAGAAAATTTATTTCTATGTATCAATACAAAAACTATATTTAAGCTTTGAATCGATTTTTTTTTTGCAGGATATTGTCTCAGAACTTCAATGGTGTGAAAAAACAAATTGAAATTTGCGCGTTATCGCGTTATAAAATTTTGTTTTCACACACCGTCGAAGTTCTTAGACTATGTCTTGCAAAAAGATTAATGATTCAATGCTTAAATTTTGATTATTTTGTAAATTCTTTCCTTGACCGAAAAAAAGCTTTACCTTTTAAAATCGATGCATTATTCCTCGGGTAAAGTAACAATTATTTGAAGGGTCGTTGCAACATCCTAGTTTGTTATACCTCTAAAAATGTGTTCCTATAAAAATCTCTAGGGAAAAAAGTCTAACATTTTTAATGTTTTTCTGAGCGGGCATAAAAAATCGATGTTGGACCGCTGAGTGAGATGTTGGACCGCTCGGAGAGATGTTGGACCGCTTACGTCACAGAATGGGCGGAGCTTAATCTCATTTTCATTCGTTGGTGTAAAACAATGACAAACTTATGTTACATCATGAAATACAGTAAAAACGTGTATGTAAAAAAAATTTAATTAAATAAAAGGTATAACAAAACATTTATTGACAGAGTTCTCGGGCAAAATGCGTTTTGTCGGACCCTCGAACCAAACTGTCTGCCTTCGGCCTAACAGCCTCTGCAGGCAGATAGTTTGGTTCTTGGTCCAACAAAACGCATGTTGCCCGAGAACTCAGTCAATAAATGTATAATGTTCAATACGAGCGTGAATTTTGATATCGTTTACACATTGAATGACGTTGCATTCCCATGGCATTAAAGGTTCATAACGTCAAAGAAAAGACATCCTTTTAAACTTTTGACCCCTTGTCCGTGTTATGGAGTTTTGAATGCCTTAGCTAACCTCACATCTCCTAAGCAAATTACATATTGAATGTAAATATATGTATGAAAATATTACATTTAATGTGATAATAAAACTAAGCCACAGCATTCATAAGTACATGTGTTTACCTAACTACAGCGTGTGACAATGGACATTATGGCATAAATTGTTCTTCCAAGTGCAGTGGGCATTGTTTATACGACAAAGCTTGTAACAAGGAAACTGGACACTGTGACTCGGGATGTAGTGATGGATTTTTGGGAGATTTGTGTCAGAACGGTAAGTTTTAAACATTTACTGAAATTCACAGCACAAAAGAGAATTGTGATATATATGAATTAATACTTGTATGTGTAGTTCTATGAAGCATTTGTTCATTTTGAAAAGTTAAAACACGATTTGTAGAAAAATTAAATTATTAAGAAATATATACAAGAGTATTAATGTCGGCGCTTTTTGTATAAATGATCAATTATTCACATATACAGAATGTACACCCGGGTGGTTTGGAGAGGGCTGTAAAGAGAGCTGTAGTGGACACTGTGCGGATAAGGCTATTTGTAATCACGTGGACGGAATTTGTCGAAATGGATGTGAAGACGGTTATACCGGACAAAAATGTAGCACAAGTAATATATTGAAACGCTGATAATCGAGTTATTTTGAAAATATGTTTCCTTTCAATCATCTGGCTGTTTTATTAAAATAAAAATACCACATCAAAGAGAATTGTTTTCAATTTTATATAATTATTTAGTATGTCCTCTCAAACACTACGGTAGAAATTGTTCCAGTTTATGTTCTTCAAAATGCTTGGGTACCTGCAAACATACTGATGGTTCTTGTACATGCAGTCCTGGTTGGATGAAACCTCCTAATTGCAACACAAGTAAATAATGATAATTTATATATACGTACTAATGATTTAAAAATTCTAGTACATTTATACTGTTTTATAACAAATTTTTCTGAATTTCGATAAGTACCTAAACATATTTCTTTTAGAATTTCTTCCTAACTTATTTAGCACTTGCAGTCCAAATTGTGTCAATGCCAAAATATATTTACTACTTAAATATGCCAGATATATAATTACCTTTTATATTCAGTATTTGTGAACATTAAATTTGAAGCTTAATTTTTCTCATATCTTCAAGAGGGTAAATAACTTGGTTGTAAAGATATTTCACAAACGGCTTTTAATATCTGATACCGTAACGATAATGATTGAATGTTGTAATGCAGGTACTATATTCAGTTGATGACTTGTTACATTATGTTTCATTGAAATAAATAAAACGAAACATTAAAACTTTAGAATGTCTTCACGACAAATATGGAGAAAATTGCAGTAATGTATGCAGTTCGAATTGTGTAAACGGGACCTGTGATAGATTCAATGGGAGTTGTACTGAGGGATGTAAAGAACCATATTATGGAGAAATGTGTAATCAAAGTGAGTAGTAAAAAAAAGAAAATCATGAAGAAGAATTTATTCCCTGGTTATTTAATGTAAAACTGTGTATATGTGTACATGAAATACTAAAGACTATCCCACCGAATACCTGGCGTATATTCCGTAAACTATTATCAAATTTAAAATACTTTACGCTCACATATAATTTATTAGCATTGTTTCATGTCTTTTTTGCATTATTTTCAAGGAGATGGAACTTTCCGTCGTCAATCTAAAAGTACGTCTGCTCAGCCACTTACCATTGGCGCAGTTTTAGGTGCATTTATCATTGTGATCATCCTTCTCGCATTGTTTGCTTTTTTTATGCGGTAATTTTTTTTCCCTGGAATCTTTATTAATTTTTTTTAAAAAAGTATTTCACAATTTGCAAGACAAAACGGATACAAATGCTTTTAATCCGATTTTGAGGTTTAAAAGATGGGTCATTTTGTGACAATTTATTATAGATTACGACGAAAAATACACAAGGAAACCACCAGAGCCTCTGTATCAATACAAATGTCACCTGTAATATCGCAGAATCAACAAACTACAGGTTTAACACTTCTTACACGAATAACAATGTGTTTTGCAATTGAAATGTAAGATAAAGGTATTTCTTTTTAACTTTTAATTTTGGTGCAAAAGTATGCACAATTTTTACACCCCTTCAAAAAAAAAAAAAATAAAAAAAAAAAAACAACCAGGAACCGTAAAAAAAAATACTTTAGTTCAATTTTGCTCAATATTGTGAAAACTATGATTCACCGTGAAATTTTGCTCTTGAATTTTTTTTGAAGATTTAGAACCTCAATATGTCTTGAATTACATCCTAATGATTTATTTTGGGGGGGGGGGTATATAAACTTTAATATAAAAGTTTATTTCAACATCATGAAAGGATTTTAAAAATATATATATCTGTATTTCATAATGAAGATACTATGATTTACTATAATGGAAGTTTGATCTACTATACGTAGTTAACTAGTGTCTACTGTAAAAGTGAATTAAAGTTACATGTAGCAGTAATACTTTTTAGTTAGGCGAAGTTCGTTTTCCTTCAGTGGGAGCTAAATTTTTCTATCAAAATTACTATTTCTTTTTCAGCACTTACGTCAAAGAAAAGAAAAGAACAAAATAATCACCAATTACATAATGTTGAAGAGAAAGCTAAGAGAGGTCCCCCTACAAATAAAACCATTCTTACAAGGAATCTACTGGCAATCATTGCTAAAATGTCTGGTGCAGAGAACGCTGGATTCAAACACGAATATCATGTATTATACATAAAATTATGTAATATCTAATAATTTCAATTTGATAAGTTAAATATATCTATGGTATGTATATGTCATTCAATTATTCGAGTGAGAGAATGAAGTTTGTTTGCATATATCTCATGACAGAAATTTTATGACACTCTTTGACATGCCTAAACACTTTCTTGAATTTAATAGGAAATTCCAAGAGGAGAATTGTTTTCCTGTGAAGAAGCTAAGAAGCCTGAAAATAAACCTAAAAATAGATATACAACTACATTTCCGTGTAAGGATAACATTTAAAACATACATTATGCATCTGTAAAAATATTCTGATGTTAGTTAAATGTTTATTGAAAGAAGAAGATAAATTAACTTCTTTATATATATTCATAGATGACCACTCTCGAGCTGTACTGAAAACCAATTCTCCTAATGAAAATGACTATATCAATGCAAATTATATCGAGGGAAGTATTATTAGATTCAATGCTACTTTAAGATCGATATCAAACTGTTAAAAAAGAAATTTTTAAATGGTTCAATCTAGCAATCCAACATTGTTTTACCACGAAACATTATAACCAATAAATCAATCTTTTGATTTTCCTAGTCACAATTCTTTTACCGTATATCTCAATAAATCCTGAAAAGTATCTACTTGAGATGATTTGACTTTAATAACTTGAGACGTTTTAGTTAATTTTGTATATTTATTGATTTTTACGTCCATAGGACACTCAGAGTAATCGAAAGTATATTGCAACTCAAGGTAACTTTATTTCCTTATGTGATTATATTTGTTTATTCACAAATTAATCTAACATATTGATATAATCACAAAAAATAAAAACTAATAAATGTAATTATTTTTTTTTATATAAAATCACAGTTTCAAAAAAAAAAATTTTCATTTTGTTCTACTCGTGAGAGATTTTTGTGATGTTGCTTTTTCAAATAAACTGATTAATGTTCTAGGCCCAAAACCAAAAACAGTGGTGGACTTTTGGAGAATGGTTTGGCAGGAATGTGTGAACACTATTGTCTGTCTGACCAATCTTAAAGAAGGGACAAAGGTTTGCTGATAAATAAAAATGAATGCACAAATATTCACAGTTCATCGTATATACTGCTTTTTGTTGTAGTAATCTAGATAACTTCCGGTTTTGTGTTTGAATACAAAACTGTGCCTTATGACTGTCAATTCAATTTTGATAAAAAAGAAAAATAGTTCAACATGTCATTTATCCATAACAGTATTTTAAGTGGTTTGATGTTTAAGGTGCTAGTACAAAAACGTTTCGGTGTGCACCTCAAGACAGAGTGGCATTGCAATTGTCTAACCTGTAATTAGATAATGCGTTTTAACAACGAAAACTATCAATGGAGAATTCATTATAAAAAAAGATAAGGAGGAATATTTTACATAGAAAAAAAATCATAAAATCAATATAAAATGTAATCGAAGAAAACAACATGTAAATCTAAGTGATATGTATTACTCATATCACAATCCTTGAAGTAAAATTTTTGTAACAACTTTTCCATAATTTTAAACATAATTGAAAAACAACTACATGTATGCATATGTGTAGTAGGAATGTTTTGATTAATTTTTAGGTACAATTTACCTCATAATTTATCTTTACAGCATCAATATTCTCTTTAAATTAGAGTTATCGTCATTTTTCATGGTAGTTTAAGTGAGATGTTTGTGGTAAAGTACATGTATAATATTTTTTTTGTAGATTAAATGTACTCAATATTGGCCAAATCTTAACGACAAAATGCAGCATGGTAATTTTATAATCAGAAATCTAGGAGATAAGGTATACGCCAATTACACATCAAGACGATTTAAAGTGTACAACAACATGGTAAGAAGGAGTCGTGAATCATGATAGCCCATAACCAATTTAAATTATGAAGTTGGGGGTGAAATATTATTGAGAACATGTCCTTTCTTTGAGTATCCCTTTTTTATCCCTTTACATTGGAGTTTGATTTTTACTTGCAAATTTCAATCTTCCAAAAAATCAAACATTTGGGGTTTATGTGTTTTGCAAAAAAACTTGTGCTTTTATTCATTGTTGTGCTATATATCTTTTGTGTTAATTCAAAAAATAGTCTCGAAGTATAATCAAATAAAATTTTAACCCCCCCCCCCCAAAAAAAAAAAAACAAAATAAAAACAAACAAACAAAAATGCATACAAATGGTTCGATCAAATATAAATGTACTTTGTACAATATTGTGAGCAATATAAGTAGTGTATTTCTGAATTGTCTTTCATCAAGGAACTGATTTTTACTGAAAATGTATCTACTGCATCCTTATAAACAGGTCTGTGATACAGTACCATTCCTGGCCACTGGTCAAAAGTTCTACTTTTGCTGTAACACACCATGAACATCTAAAAATAATATCAAAGTTGATTTCGAAATACAAATATTCTGATTATAAGGAACACACACACAACAGAATGAATTTGGATGACATTTTATCTTTAAAGCAAGGAGATAAAATCAAAAAAAAAAGTATGATCTTTCTCGAGCAAAACTAGAATCAAGATACTTATCTGGAATATTTTCAATCTTTGAACAATGTAAGTCCTCCATAAAGATTGTTTATAATTTCCGTAGATTGATAATTGGATTTCATTGTTCCTATTATAACGTTGATAAATGCATCAAGACGAATTTCCACTCATTTTTTCCCAAAAATCCGTTATGTTTATTTAACTTGTTGCGATAACTTAAGCACAATAGGAATATAAGAAAGCAATTACTGTATCTGAATAATCAACATTGCACCGTAAAAGACCGGTCCAAAAATGTTATCCACGCTTAAACAGGTCTTATATACTCCATTTTGAAGGAAAGATGCCATTTTACAACAAATGCGCATGCTCCTATTAATTTCTTATTTGATGAAATTTTAATGGACTCAGTGTATGCATCCATTTTTTTTCTCAAAATATTAGCGATTCCAATAAGACAACTATAAATAATAAAATAATGCTTATCTTTTATTTTCTTTTAATAAATGATACATATCAGCTCCAAAAGGTGAATTTAACGATTATTTAATGCAGTCGTAATTTTAGGCACATGTATGGAAGATCCTAAGGATGCAAAAAGTTAAATTATTGACTTTTTTATTAATTTTTTCTGACTTCTACGTCGGAGCAGCTAGGGGTATCTAAATCTATAAAACTCATAGAATTTACCAATGTTTAGGATTTTAAACAGCTAGTCTAGCATATTTTTAAATATTTAATCTTTATTCAGCACTACAAGTGATTGAACCTTGAAAGCACACAAAAAATACAAGCATTAAATCTCTAAATTGAATGCTTAATTGAATGATTGATTGTTTGATTGACATATGTTGATTAACGTCATTTGAGAATAATGAAACTTTCAATTACGAAATATATTGTTAAAATACTTTATAAAATACATGTACATGTATGTGTGTTTTGAAAAATGAATCCCATATTTTATATACGCTAAATACAGCTGTATGCAACGCGTAAGAGATAAATATTAAATAGAAATGTGTGTGTTTTAAGTTAAAAAGACCTTACATCACAGTGCTATTGTAGATTCCAATATATACGCTTGAAATTAATTACTGGGTAATTTTGCGAGAAGCGCAACGCGCGAAATAAAATTACTCGCCTTTATTTTTTTGATGATCAGATCTATGTAAAATATCTTGATCAACTGTCCATTCGCGAATTTTTATTCTCGCGATTTGCCGTAAAAGAGCCCATTCGCGATAATAAGTAATTGCAAAAAATAAAGAATCAACATCATTTTTTAGGATATGCATTGAAGTAAACGTCTTCATTTTTTCTAATTTTTAATTAAAAGATATCATAAAAATCTTTACTTTTTGAGTAACCCCTCTTTAAAAAAAGAACTGTTACGTCATACTCATTATGACATCACTCTTAAATATGATTTAAAAAAAAACACATTCAATCAATATTAATTTGGGTCAACATGAATGTTGTTCAATGTCACAAAAAAGTGAAATAACATTTCAAGAACACATTTCCCTGATCTAAGAATGACAAACATGACAGTATCTAGTTAGCTAAATCATTCTATTTTCAAACAATCAACCATGGCTAAGAAACACGAAGAGCTTGAAGTGTTAAGAAATATTTCTGATACTAAAATTCTGGATAAAAGTTTTTGATAATGAACTGTCAGATGTATACTACCTGAAGCCGACCCTTTTCTTTTTAAAAGACCTTTTTCAATCTCAATGAAAATAATAGTAAAATATGACATACCGTATCTGTTCTGTTCTGGTTGTATATACTTGTTTTTTTTTTAATAATACAACAAATCCCTGACTTTCCCTACCAAAAAGTGACAGACAAAAACCTGTTTTAATGAAATCTGAAAATCTGTAATACACATCTATCAAGGATTTTAAAAAAAATAGAATAATTTATAATTGAATATCACCGACTGAGAGAAAGGAAAAACGTCCAAATACTTGGATTGTTAGGGGATACATATTTTCTTTAAATGACATTTACAGTCTTTTAAGTTTTCTTTATATTAATTGTCGCTTTTGAATTGCATTTTTAAATATATACATAAAAAACGTTTTTAAAATCATTTTATCAAAGCTTATCAATGTATATAAAGCTAGCAAACTGAATTAGATTAAAGATACCATTTGTATGCAATGACAAAAAGAAAGCAATCATGATCCACGCAAATGAACCAGCGACAAGAAAACAAAATAACATTCTCATTTCTTGATTGAAGGAACGAAAAGACCGTGAGGTGTTGATGTTCCATTACACAAGATGGCCAGACCACGGGGTTCCTGATCCACTCAATCTTGTTGTGTTCCATCGTCACGTGACGAAAACGTCACCCCAAACTGGAAAATATACATTGGTGCACTGCAGGTTATATTGTGATATCAAATTTACTGAATTCCTGTTCAAATTTAGAATCTCTCTCTCTCTCTCTCCCTCTCTCTCTGATTTATTAAAAAAAATCGTTATATTGATTTGTTCTTCTGCTCCTTATCCTTATCCATTGGATGACATAAACATGATATGGAATTTAACTAGATTGGATTGGGAAAACAATGATAAAAACATGATTACATTTACATGTACAACGCGAGAAATACATCTAAAAACTCAAATTGATTGGTTGATAATATTGTAAGAAAGTCCTTGATTGCTCAATAGGGAATTCCCGAATAAACCTCCCAGAACTTCAGTTGGGATGATCTCCCATTCTGAGATACTCCTCTGGAAACATTTCCGATCATTCGACAATAGATGAGAAAAGATGGTCCACATGATCAATTGAGAAACTGAATGTAACATCAATTTGCTCTTACGTCTCATTAAGACGATTTTTTTTTTTTAACAAATCGTATTCATAGCAAAAGAACAATTAGGATGAATCAAGTGTATAATGCGTGTCCATCACAAATTCATCTTCTTCAAGAACTTCACAGATATTTTAAATGAAAAAAACTATACTAAGATTGAATGTAAACATCAAGTGAAAAAAATGAAACCTAATTGAGTAAGAGAAATTACAGTTTTGTCTCTATTGGTCATACATATACAAAAATGATGTCTGCTTAAACAATGATTTTGATAAACATTATGGATAAATGTTAGGATTATTTTGAAAGTGTCTTGATTAAAACATATACATGCACTTTGCACAGACGAGGAAAATTTTCTAGCTCTGTTTTAAAAACCGTGCAAAAAGTCAAGCTAAATAGAAATCTAGTCTAAACTTTATTATCAAATATGTGTTTTATCTCACTGAATGTTCTGGGTCTAAATGTATACGTAAAGGGATGCGTAAGATGTAGATTCTGCATTTCACTCACTAGTATTTAAATTAGTAAATAAAACACTTAGATATAACGAACAGTGTTCAAGATCAAAAGTCAGTATAACAATTCAAAATAGGAGCAGAGAAAACACGGACCTCCAATACATCAGTTGTGGCACCAGGTTCAACGGAGGAGTGAGCATTTCCTGCCTACCTGTCACAATTGCTTCTTGTTATGATCGGGAAATAACGAATCAAATCGTTGTCAGTTCAGTGTAAAAATGATGGAATTACAATGAGTATTAAAAGAGTTAGTCATCATTTTACGCTCGTGCATATCGAATGAACTGAGATATATAACTCCGTATGCAGGTGAAGAATTTCTACATGAATGAGAAGTTGACAGTAGAAAAAATAATGACGTTTATCATGGAGCTTGGCTGATAGATTACCATTAACGTTTTTAACTAAAATACCCAAATATGAAACAGGTGTGTTAGACTCTGTGGTATTGTTTATCTTAAGCTCACCGGGAAATATCGTATTGACATAAGAATGGAAATTACCATCATTATTTGACATTATTATTTTACTTCTTTTCTCGCATATGGTTTTGCACAAATTCTTCTTAATATGAATTTAAAAATAGGTCTGCGGCTCGCAATTGGTACCCATGGGAACTCCAATAGATTGTTTTATTATATCTTATTGATAAAATTAAAATATGTCATTGTGTTAGATAATGTTCTCAAAGACTTCTAGGGAAAATATGAAATGCTACACGTATACACAATGTTGTTGCATAACACAAAACCTTTCGTTACTTCTCACTAAACTATTGACAGTAGTGAAGGAAAATCTTCAAGAGTACTGTACAACTATATATTCAAGAAGTGGTGTAAATCAGATGTGGATACTTAAAAATTCTAAAGAACTTTTGGACAATTTGAAATCAAAAGACTTTACAAAAATCAACAGCATAAAAACTTACGACTTTTCAACTTTATACACAACAATTCCCCACGACAAATTAAAATCCAGGCTTTTTGATATCATTGACAGCTGCTTCTTCAACAAAAATGGAACTCGTAAGTTTACTTACCTTGTCATTGGTCATTTGAAAAATTATTTTGTTAAAACAGATTCTGATTGCACACATAAGTACTCTGAAGTTGACATCAAGAAGATGCTTGAGTTTCTGATTGACAATATCTATGTGGTTTTTGGAGACCAGGTATTCCAACAATCTATTGGAATTCCCATGGGTACAAATTGCGCTCCGTTATTAGCAGACTTATTTTTATATTCATATGAAGCAGAATTTATGCAAAATCTTTTACGTGAAAAGAAGAAAACACTTGCTGTGGCCTTCAACTCGACATTTAGATATATCGACGACGTATTGTCAATTAATAATGATAATTTCCATTCCTACGTCGACACGATATATCCTGGTGAGCTTGAAATAAAAGATACCACAGAGTCCGACACTTCTGCTTCATACTTGGATATTTTACTTGAAAAAGACACTAATGGTAATCTAACAACCAAGCTATATGATAAACGTGATGACTTTAACTTTTCTATCGTCAACTTCCCTTACTTATGCAGCAATATACCTTCATCACCTGCATACGGAGTATTTATATCTCAGTTGATTCGATACGCAAGAGCATGCTCTACGTATGAACAATTTCTTAAACGAGGTAAATTATTGACAAGCAAGTTGATGAAACAAGAATATCAACAGTCTCGTTTAAAGTCATCATTTCGTAAATTCTATGGTCGATACAATGACCTTGTCAGCAAATACAATTTATCATTGAATGAAATGCTGACTGACGTTTTTCATACCAATTGTTAGTCCATTATTTATACAGTGAATTGACCACGGATTTTTTCCGTTATTTCCTGATTATGACAACGAGCACACGGCGGGTGTGACCGGTCGGCAGGGGATGCTCACTCCTCCATGGCACCTGATCCCACCTCTGATGTTCTGGAGGTCCGTGTTTGCTCTGCTCTTATTTTGTATATTTGTTTAATGGACGTTGAGATTGAATACTGTTCGTTATTTCCATATCCTTCATGTACAATATTCTTGAGCAACAAATTAGCTTTGTTTTGTCTTTCTTAAAGATAAAGACATCACACTGAATCATCTATTTTAAAAAAGAATACTGCAGAAAATTATTTACAGTATGAAGAGAATGGTCGATTTAAGAATTATTCTTAAATTGCATTGTGTTAGGAATTGTATTTTTTTTCAAATTTTAACTACGCGTGGCGAAATCAGATCAGATGAGATTATTAAAAAATGACGATTTTCAACAAAAAATAGCAAGCAGTGGATAATATTGCTTTTAAATTGAAAACTAAAATCATAGGAAGGTATTTTTCCATGTTCCAATTCACCGTAATCAGTGTTATTTTTCTTTATTTTATGCTATTTATACGAAATGTAACTTTAAGGAAAAAGAAGTCTATAGCATTTTTCAGTAATCAACGTTTTCCTTGCTTATGTTTGCCTTTAATATCAGATTAAGGTACGGTATATACAGATATAAAAAGCATCCATTCAGAAAGCTTAAATGATATAGAAAAACATCCGACTAATTTTGCTTGCAAAGCCACAATTGTGAATAGGAGAGATCTAATCCCATTTCGTTGAAATAAGCATTAGCCTTGCTAAGCATATCCTTCATCAGATATTTATTTTTAGCAAATATGACAAAATTTGCCACAGGTAACTAATAAAAAAAATACTTGTACTACCCACAGTGATACCCCTGTACAGTATACGATGTTTATTTAAGTATACGTACTTGTAGTTAGAGTTAAGCTATCTATCTGTTCAAGCACCGGATATGTTGATTTAGTCATATATACACTGGGATATACTTATGAACATCTCAATATGTAAAAAATTAATGAAACAAAATGGATTGAATCAAATTGTATAACAATGCATTAGTTTTTTTTAGAATCATAATAAAATCATACATATTATCATATCATATTATTTGGTAAACATAAAAAAAAGTTATGGCTGATGAACTGTTGATGATCTATATTCCCTTTATCATTCTTGTACACAGTGGATAACATAGACTGTTGGGAAAAATGTTTCATACTGCTCCTCCATGATATTGATTATTTCAAATCCAAAAGCTTTTTTTTTTTGCAAAATTAAGTTAATTTCATTGATAATAATTTGAAAAAAAAAATATCGTGTCGCTGGCTTTCGTATGGTTCTATATCAATTGTTTGGACAATGTTATAAGAAATGGGACTATGGCTACATTGCTTTATGTATCCAATACAAAGGACTTACGGTGGAGGTATTCATTCCCAGCCATGGAATTTCCATCTTGTATCTTTGTCTAATTTTCAATTTTAATTTCTAACTTTTGATTTTGTTTTAATAAAGATACTGTTCAACGTTATCATCTATAAAATAAATGAAAGTAAAGGTTAATAAAGTAGTCTTTATGATATATTAAAATGAAACATTTTTCTTTCAGTGCTGGGATTGGTAGAACCGGAACTTACATAGCTTTAGACGCACTCTACCGGGAAGGGGAGAGAAATGGTAGAGTCAATGTACCTATGTATGTCAGAACCATGAGAAAAGACAGAATGAACATGATACAAGGGGAAGTAGGTTAAGATTACTATTTCATTTGATACCATAATACCAACGTCTCCTTGAAATATCAGCCCTTATTTGCATTTTTCAAATTGTCACAAAAATAATTGGTCTTAATGTTTTTCTTAATTGCCAAATTCGTACATGTAGCTGTTGTTTCTGCCATTTGAATTTGATAAAGTAGTGTACATATATGCGCAAAAGTTTTAATAAAAAAAGAGACGCTTCTTTGGATGGTTTTCTTCCTGTGCGTTCAAGATCATGCACAATACTTTCCGCATTCTATTTATTTTTGCAAAAAGGAGAAATTATCTTTTATTGCGTAATAATAGCAAGTCCCTTGTAAACAAAAAGCGTTTGTAACATAAAAGTCTTATTGATTACTTTCTTTCACTCAGTAAAACAAACTCGACGAAATATTTCCCTTTAGATCTCCTATCAGGAGGAGATAAAAATTGATAAGTTGTAAAAGTTTCCTTAATCTACCCATATATTTAATTTTGTTGTATTCATCACGAAACTCTTCCTTAATTAAAGAGGGAAAAGTTAAAGGTTAATTATCTTTTCCAATCACCTCACTGTTTTCTTGCAATGTACCTTCCTTATATTGCATGTTCAAACATTTCCTTGTTTGATAAGATCTTTCAAAAGACGAATTAAATCATTCTGAATTTCATTCATTGCGGAAAGTTCCTTATTTACAAAACGTTCTCATATTTAAACATGTCTTAATTTGTAGATATTCTATTTAAGCCTTTACAGCAAAAACAAATTTAATCATGAAAGGAAATCAATTTTTTCCTGTTATTATCTTTAAGTTACTTTTTTTATCTTATTTCTATGTCGAGTCTAATATTTGGGAGTTTGTAAAAATACGAACATGGATTAAAGAAACCACGCCCATTTTAGTGATATGATATATACATGTTTCTAGCAGCGAGATATAATACTGGACAAATTGACCGTATTTAAAATATTATATACAATTACAGTTCATTATGATAGATGATTGTTACAGTAAAAATTGAAGGAGATATTACTTCAAACTAAAGGAACATCAACTTGAAGACTATCGAATCTCAAGAAAAAATAATAAAAAATCGAAAAAATATTGTGTTATTGGTCTCTTTTTTCAAAATTGATTTTCTCTTTCGTAGAATAACTTGACATTATTTCCTCGCGGTGTAAATGTTTTAATATTACATTCAACATGTTCACTACTACAGATTACATGCATTTTCAAGAAATTGGCTTTGAGTTATATTTTTTATTTCGCCTTTCAAGATTTTGTGCATATTTCCGTTAAATTCGTATACAAGCAAATTCAAAGAATTGTGGCCCCCGCTTTCGATGTCTTTGTGAGTAAGATGTCATTTAATGACATATTGTGTCAACTATGAACGCCCTATGTTATAAAAATTATCACCTAAGTTGATTTAATAAAGATGTAATGTCAATCGTGAAGGTCAAAGGGTCAGAAATCGTAGTATGCTCGGAAATATCTTATCAGGGGAAATAAATACGTCAAATGTAAAAGAAAATCTCTTCTCAGTCAAAAATTATAAGGAAGAAGATGTGTTTGTGAATCACTGATGAACTTGTATGGCTTACAAAGCGGAATTTAAACTTTTCTTAAATGCAAATCAAATATATTGATACCCAAAGTAGAGTTTTTCTGACTATAAATACGATTGTGAAATACGAAAGTCCAAGCACCACCTATTCAAAAGTTGTGGCCAAGGAGGAGCTTTTCAAATGTAGGTCAAACTTGTTAGTTTCTTAAGAAAGGTCTTGTCACAAATGTTACATATGTGAAGTATGAAAGCCCTAGCCATAGCCTTTGTTTTTTTTTTGTGGTACGTCAAACTCCAAGTTCTTTGTATCTATTGAAAATTCCTGTCACAAGAATTAGTATGTGAAGTATGAAAACCCTAACTATTACCGTTCATAAAGTATTCCAAGGTTAAAGTTTTTGCATAAGTACGGAAATCTCCAAGGTCAAGGTCAAATGTGTTGGTACCTGAGTTTAATTAAAAGGTCTTGCCACAAAGAATACATGTTTGAAATATAGGAGTCCTGGTACATGTATCTACTGTTAAAAAAGTTATGGTCAAAGGTTTGGAATTCTTGTGTAAAAGTCGGTCAAACTGCAAGGTGAAGGTAAAAAGGTCACATTTTATCGTATCCAAAGAAAGGTCTTAACACGAAGAATACACCTGTGAAATATGAAAGTCATAGCTTAACTCAATCATAAGTTCTGGGCAACGTTAATGTTTCTGTGACGGATGGAAAGACTGACAGACGAATGAGATTTGATTTCCCATCTTTTTGCGAAGGCGGGGGATAGATGCATGTGACTGTAAATTAAAAAAAAAACAACTCCATTCTAGGCATATTGTTTACATTGTGGATGCACAGAGTGTATGCTCATAGTCTTACATAAGAAATTGCACTCGATTCTGCATTTTACAACTTTTATCTTTTTCATTCATCAGGACCAGTACAGAGTCCTATATCTCGCTCTCTGTGAGTCGTTCAGCGGGAGATCAAGATGTTTGACAGCAGAGAAACTTACTCAAGGTGGATCCTGCTACTCAAGTTGTGGAGAAGCTACAAATACAAATCCCTTGTCGTCGGAGTTCCAGGTAAAATAGATATAGAATGTAAAAAACGCAATGCAAATATTATCATTCTGTAATAAAATTCTCAACCATAAATGTAAGTCGTATACAGAAATGAATCATATTTTGATACATTTTATAATGATACTTATGTCTTAAACAATTTAGATGATACTTGCCCAGTTATAAAAGAATGCAAGAAAAACCATCAAAATCAATTTCATTGTACAATGAATTTTATTTCTTGTAGAGTCTACAGTCTCTTCGGCTTAATTATACAGAGAAAGATTACGAACCTGGACAAACAAACATATCTGCAAATTACACAGAGAGTGTTCTGCCGGGTATTCTTCAATATTCTGTTCATTAATTTTACGTTTCATGTATTTTAGTCAAATTTTAATTTTTAGAGCGACATTTTTCTAGAAAAAAATGTAATAAGTGGCTTGATTTTCTAATTTTAGTCATTTAATGCACGTTCAATTGTGAATAGAAATTACTTGAGAAAAACGGCAAATAGCAGTTCAATTGTTTCTACATACAGCTTGTCAAAAATATATTGATCCTTTGTAAACATACATTTCAGTGGAAAAATTCATGTGCTATCTGTCCTATACAAAGGGAAGGAACAACTACTACAACGCTGTTATACTTCAGGTATGATTCTTTGTGTATATCGTGTAATGATAGGTTCATTATTGATTTGATTTAAAAGTTTGTCTTTTAATTTGTTAAAAGCTTCGAAGGTTTAGGAATAATGTTGTTATATAAGCTTTCATTTATCAATTATAATGGGAAAAAGTAACGATGTTTGCTTATAAGACCAGAAAATTGATTTATATAGAATTTATACATTTTAAAATTCTTTACATAATATATTTTTTTGATTTTCTATTTTGACACCACTCGTTTATCATATTTTCGAGCTAACATGTAATACAGAGAAAAAATCAACTAGATAACATCTTTATATTTCAGTCCTTCACAGAGAACGACAGTGTGATCAGCGCCCAGTACCCACTTCCGGACTACACTGAAGACTTCCTCAGACTCATCAGAGACTTTGATGCTCGTGTTGTGGTTTTCCTTGGTCCACTGAAGGAAATAAAATCAGTGAGACAGCCAAATATACTAATTTTAGATGCAGAATGAAAAAAAGTCGATTTTGATGTAAAGCAAAAGAGCATAAACAAAAGAAAATTTGTAAATGATAATTATCTTGACGTGAAAGAATGGTTTAAGCAGTTTCCAAAGTTTACTAAAAACTTATGAAGATCGTTTATAAAATAATAGCAAAAAACTTTTCTTATTTTCTATAGTCCTCCCTTTGGGTTCCAACAAAGTCCGAAAATAAAATAGTAGGCAGTTTTGTTCTTAATCTGGCAACATCGACCAATTCGGTCAACTTTACAACCAGGAATATTGTTCTGCAGCCAAGGGTTTGTATGCTGTATATGTCATGTCTACCACGTTATACCGTGAAATCACAAATAACCTTGGAAGGGGGGGTAATTTTCGTTGTTTTCGAAATATATAAAAAGACCCACGAATCTATGACCACCAAAATGTGAAAATGTTACATTCATAACTACTTTACAACTCTTCATCTACATCCTAATGAAGGAATATTTTCTCTTTAAACCACGACAATTTTACCCCACGAAGATATGTGAATTCACAGAATCTGCTACTAACTTTGTACGAAAGCCATGTGCTTCATATAAAACTTCAAAAGTGTTATATTGTAGGGAAGCAGCGACATAAAAATAACGGTGTTTGAATGTAAGACCTGGAGAGAAGGAAGGTTCCTTACCGACAAAAGAGTCCTGCTAGACGTGGTCAAGGAGGCAAAAGCAGAGAAAGACAAGGAAGAGGGGAAAATATTGGTTTTGTCCAGGTACATGTATGTCTCAACTCTGTGTATCTATCTGGCAATTATTTCATCATATTCTGATGAAAATGTACCATTGATTTCATTTACAATTACCAATTTAAAAATAAATGGCAGTTTTGGTTTTATCTTCCTCAGATCGTCAATATGCAAAATCTCCTTGAACAAAATATGCCTTATACATTTCATTTATTGAAAACACGTTTTAAATACAGAGGACATATTGCGAAAATTATCAATTGTGTGAATATGCTTGATATTGATAGTGTTACCTGTTGTGTAGCATTCTGTGTGGTCTATAATGCTCTGGAACAATTATAACAATAATATGAGTACTCAATAATAACAATAATCTAAGTACTCGCTAGATATAATAATCTTAGTATATCTTAATAGTGATGGCGCTACACTTTGTGGAGCCTTTTGTTTGGTCTTTAATGCTCTAGAACAACTCAATTACAATACCAATAATCTAAGCAATCTATAAAAACTCTATGATAATATAATTATATAGTGTTAGTGATGGCGCAACACGTTGTTGATCATTCTGTGTGGTTTATAACGCTCTAAAACAACTCTATAATAACAATAACAATAATCTAATTATATCTTTATAGTGATGGCGCCACACGTTGTGGGACATTTTGTGTGGTTTATAACGCTCTAGAACAACTCTCTATGGATCAGGAAGTGGACATCTTCACCATCACACGACAACTTCAGATCCGTAGACCGGAGTTTGTGTCGTCTTTGGTAAGAAGTTTTGTCTATTCAGTGACTGTAATAAGCGTTGTATGGTTAAACATATAATAAGTTTTGGTATTTTTTTTGTAACGCAACATTTGTGATTTCTGCATGAACATGGAACAATTAATGTGATACAAAAATATATATATTAAGATTATGCTCGCCTTACTATGGTTCAATTCAGGCATTTTACTCGAGACTGTCACAAGTAACCGTTTTGTTAATTGTTTTTAAGTTTATGGATACATTTAATTTCAGCAATATTATATCTCTGCAAAAATCGCTAACAAATTTCCTAGAAATTATACACAATAATCAGAGTAGCTCAATCGGTAGAGCGCTTGCTCCGTGATCGGGAGGTCGTGAATTCGAATCTCGGCCGCTACTGATCTAAGTCGATTAAAAATGGGTAGCAAGTGTTCCTTCACCATGCGCTGGGCACTTTGAAGTGAAATTTGTGGGTCCTTCGAATGAGACCTAAAAAAGAAGCCCTGTGTCAGCGGCAGGCGTTGGCACGATAAAGATCCCTCACTGCTCAATGGCCCTGAGTGCGGAGTAAAGGTCAAAAATTGAAGCCCTTCACCGGCATGCGGTGACGTCTCCATATGAGTGAAAAATTCTCGAGAGGGACGTTAAACAATATACAATCAATCAATCACAATATTCAGATATCTATGTGTTATAAATCATGTGAGCAAGATGGATGTTGGCTTAGGGTTGTTTGAGTATTACTTGGAGTTGACATCCATAATGATTCTTACGTATAATATCAATTCCTTCATGCAGCATTAAATTGAAAGTTTTCCTATTAATGCATAGCAGTCAGTCTTAGTTCAGTTGTCATTCACATATTCTTTAATGATATAATTTTCAAATCAAGGGTCCTTTTTTATATTCAATATCATTGCTTTATTGTAAATATTGAATTTTTGGGTACCTTTTTACTTACATGCACATGCTTAAACCATTTACTTTTTAATAATTAAATAAAAACATACTGTTTATTGATGTTAAGTCCTTTGTACAAATATATATTGGTTATACAATTCAAGAATCCTAATTACAGGTAAAGTCAGACACCATTATTTTTTATGTATTTAGAGCACTGTATTTTAATATATTTTCTTTATTTTTCAGGAGGAATACCAGCTTTGCTATGATGTTGTTGCTGAATGCATGCAGAATGACAGTGTGTACGCAAACTGTTAGACAAAGGGAGGGAACTCTAATAGCTTTGAAAAAACTGAAGTGCAAACTTTCTTATAATAATGATTGATTTCATGTCATGACATTGTGCAAATTCATAATATATTGATAATGCATATTAAACAGCGCAATGTTTTTTGCAAAGTAACCCCGACCGGGGTTCCAGGTTCCCCATATTCCTAATTACAGACTTACTCATTGAACTGAAACCACTTTTTGAAGATTGCTTAAATAGACTGTTATTTTTTTGGCCCAATGCTTTTTACGCTCTATTTTTGTAACACGACCTTGCATTTTTTTCTTTTTATAACAATAATATTGTGTAGTCAAATGTCATCTTTATGCTTTTGATTTTCAAATGACTAATTTTTTCGAGGGTTTGTATTTTTAAAGTTATAACATAAATATTGTAAAACCTCATTTTCAAATGATTTTGAAACCATTAAAATCCTTAAAAAATAAAACAAACTTAGGTAAAGATTCATTTAATATTTTAATGTTAATAAGGACACTTGTGCAAAATATAATTTTATTGATATTGTACCAACTTCAAATTACAAATCAACACAGGACTTTAGAATGCCTTATTGTAGAAGAATTATTTTGTCGTTAACACTTTTTTTTCTGTTATTTTTTTTGTTTTTTAACGTTGTTTTGTAGTTGCCGTTTACAAATAAAACATTTTTGAAAAGCTTTTTGTCTTCGTTTTATTGTTATTGAATACGAATTCTCAATTTTAAACTGATCATTAAAACAATATGAGGTACTGTGAGCGATGAGCTCACTATATGATACCCCCGCCTCCATATAGTTATAATGACAAAGTCATGATTTGCTGTGGCCGGGGAGCCCAAAATATGTGTCGGATCAAAAAGTTAAATAGAAGATGCACAATGGCAATATGTAATAAAGATTTTGTGAAAGTTTCTTTCGGTGGTATGAGAGGAGATACGGATAAGAGATGGGTACCCCAAAGCGTAACAGACGGACGGACGGACGGACGTACAGACGGACGGAATTAACGATTACTATATACTTTTCAAGCGGGGGGAATAATAAATAATAATCAATTTGAAAAAAAAAATCTTAAAATTTTAGACGTTTGCGACTGTTTCATCACTTATTATATATGATCAATGCGTAAACTCAAAGTCAACAAATGCCATACTTCCTGGACGTATTGCAGCAACGAATTATATTAAAAACTAGAGCAAAGCTCGTTGCTAAGCAACGAGTAGGTCTTTCGTCTAGTTTTGACCGGAAGTGACGTCAACAAGAGAAAGAAATAAGTTGAGACGCCTTCAGTGTCTCTAAAATTTAAAAGTTTTCAATTTTACGTCAAAACCTTCAAAATAAGCTATTTTGGCTACTTCCGGTTTGACCGGAGGTGAATCATTTGACAGATTTAGACAATTTAGGCATCATTTCCGGCTGACGTCAAAGTCACAAGTACGAAAAAACTTTGAAAAAAACTCACATAAAACCATTTATTCTATTTCTTTTGACGCAAGAGAGAAAGTTTGATTTTTCGACTACCTCCCGTTTACACTGGAAGTTATTCAAATGGATGTGTTTTGTTGACGATTGTTAATGTGAACCTAAGTTTTACTTGCCATTATACAAAACGGTTAATTTTTTCATAAAATCTCGAAAATTAATGTCACTTCCTGTGTCGACCGGAAATGACGGATGCAAAATCAAAAGATGCCATGCTTAACTGAAAGAGATGTTTTATCATCCCCGAAGATATCGTGTTTAAGTCTTGGGTGGTTAAGAAGGAGTTGCTTGGACAAAATGGCAATTTAAAATAAGAAAATCGGACAAAAAATGTGACCTGAAGTGATTTTAGGGAAAAAAATGGTCTGGAGATATTATAACAATGCATCATTCCTGAAAAAATCTTTGAAATCGGTCAAGTAGTTTCCAAGAAATCACGTGTACTATGAAAAGGGAATAATAATAATAATTATAGGAAACATAAGAAAAACAGTAAGGTCTTCCGAAGGAAGTCGAAAACCTTAATAATTTTTGCAGACAGGAATAAGCCTCAAGGATACGAAAATGTTTGAGAGATTACCAACAAAGACGGAAGTATTTTGAATTGTAAATATTAAAACACAAATAAAAAGAAATATAAGCTGCATTAAAGATGATTTTATTTTGGTGTTAAAATATGTCGTTGTTATTAATTTTGAATTCATGTAATTTTATTTCGTTTGATCAATTAGATCTGGCGTCTCGGGTTCATACAGTATGTGCGATGGAAAAGGGAATGTATTATTCTATATATATGTCGATTTACAGAAAGGAGTTACGTCTCTTAATATGAAAGGATTTAACTGAAAAAAAAACATAATCTTTAGTCCCCTAACAAAAAAATTCAATACTTTGTTGCTGTTGTTGTAGAAAGGGCAGGCGGAAGTGTTTCAAACTGAAACTTTCTCTGATTTTGACATTATTATTAATTTCATTTTTTTATATTGTGTATATGTACACTAGCGTAAATTGTTTCTTTTTTATAAATCCACAAGGAAATCAATGCAACTTCAAGTGAGTAATGCATCAGAGCATAAATAGAAGCAAAAATAGAAAACGGAAAAAAGTACTTGTATTCACCAGGAAGTGAAAATCACTGTTTTAGATGAAGTTTGACATATTGCACTAAAATTATAAGTACCTTTTAGTTTGTCTATTGCCATTATTCGGTACCCTCAAAAAAAAGAAAAGCAATACTTTCAATCTTGTTCAAAGTTTTAAATGTATTTTATCATAAAAGCACAAATTTATGTTTGTATTAAAAATATACATGTATATAATGTAATATTATTGATAATAATATGTTTTATGCATACATATGTAATTTCCCATTTCTGTGGTTAGAATGTAGAGATTGTAGTATACCTGGTATTTCATGTATATATCAGGTTTCAGAGCTAGGAAGTTATGTAATGCATAGTCTCAGGTTTTGGGGCTTTGCGTTGATTAGTCGTGAGCTAACATCGGAGATATCACGTGATTGTTATCGCTGGTAGATGCTGCAAGTGTTTGTACACACCATTTTTTGTAGAAAAACATAACGATTTCGGATTATTCATCTCGATCAATGCTTAATAATCAGTGGATTGGCAGTGCATACGTCTGTATGCACAGTATGTAAGTGGTGATATTTCGGATTCGCTTTGTGACTGCATGTTTTTCGACTCCATCGGAGCCTGGATACATGCAGGGTGTTTCAAAATGGCGGACATGACGAGGGTTGTGCTAATCGGCCATTCGTACATTAGAAGGATGGACAAGTATGTGAAAGACAATATGTGAAAAAAAAAATCTTTGTTTTGACCTAAATTATAAATAGATTCTCATTGTTGATCCGTGGCCAAGGTGGGTTAAACGTTAAGGGTTTGGCACATCGTGAACACTATGTACTTTCTCCACAGCCCCTGACATTAGCCTTTTTCAAATCGGAGGTAACGAACTTTCCTTCGACCCTTCACAAAGATTGTAAGGTATATTTCTTTTACGAACTTCCTGATTCATGGTACGAGTGTGAAACATGTAATTTTATGCAACTTCTCCGAAGGGATCCTCACAACTTACCACCGGGATGCAACAATGTTGTTATTGAGATTAATCAGCTTAGAAACTCTGTATCTGAATCCTTACCATATGTATCATTTTGGAAACACCAGGGTTTCGGGACTAACCTACAGTACCTAAGGGAGTTCACCTACCTACAAAGTCATGCAGTACCGATCCATTACCTATGGTCAATGGTCAATCAAAGATGTGGTGGTCAACACTTGCAGGAGGCTAAGGCCAGTATAAATTAATTTGAAGTTTGGTATAATGATATACAAGATATATGAGCATAAATCATGGAAATGAATAGATGCATATGTATAGGACAAGAGTCAAATATCTAGTAAGATATTTAGAAAGATGTCTGTTCTAAACATTCAAGTAGATCTATTAAAAAAAAAAATTAAATTATATCTTTCTGTAAGATATATATAACTTCATGAAAACCTGCAGAACATGTCAAAATTTTCCATGCTAATGTCTCAAAGTTATTTTTTGCAGGGTAAACTTACAGTATACATATGTCAAAATTTTCCATGTTTATTTATGCCGTAATATATACATTTGTGGTATCTCTCCATTATATAAACATACAGAGAGAAAATATCTTCAATTCTGTATGAAGTTTGTCAGAGGTCAGAGGTCAATACGTGACCTAATCACACGGCGCAATAATATCTACCGGTACATAAATTTTAAAATGACCTGCTCTACTTGCTTTTCGTGTATAAAAATGAATAAAATAAGCAAGTAAAATGATAATTATTTTATTTTAAATGTAATCAAGTATTTCATACAGTTTTTGGGCTATCGATTCAACCTGTGTACATAGAGAAAACTAGGAGCCTAGCGTTTGTTTACATTTTTCTTCACTTTTGTCAGCTGCACAGTCTCTAACGTTCATCCTTATTTTTTGGATAGACCTTTGGTTAAATTTTCATGATAAACTTTTATTTTATCTTTAAATTTTACTCACGATAAATGTGTAAATCTGTTGGAAAATATCTTTGCAATCATGCCATGAACAGCTGCCAAACACCTCGGTGTTTTCGTAGTTCAATATAAAGCTGTCGCCAGTGTCTCCGTGTTTATCAGTGTTTTACGATAAGTATGCCTTTAGTTACTGAAACCGTGGAATATTTTTGATCAAATTGCAAATTAACTGGCTCGGACAAGTGTCTCAGTCCATCGGATCCATCCATCCCTTTCCAGCGACCGAAATTCCTCCAACTTTTTATCATCAAACTTCGGACGTGTTTCTTGTGTTTTTTCAGCATCGATTATCATTTTCTCGAATAAAATATTCCCAGACAACAATCTGTTCACTATTACTGATCACAAGTAGCCTTTCACAAAATATTCCCTTCGAAATAGATTCCTTAGCCTAATGAATTTGAAGCGTAACCGCCATGCAAGCCGATTTACACCTTGCGTCATTTTTCAAAATCTACGACGGACGGTTAGTGCAATAATTTAAATTCGAAAATATTCAATTGTCTGTCTCAAATGTATATATAAGTAATAAATAACAAGTTTATAAACTTCAATGGGAATTGAAGTGGTTCGGTACGTGATAAAATCTTCTGAGAAGGCCTTCGACCTTCACAGGATTTGATCACGTGACCGACCCACTTCAATTCCCATTGAAGTTTATAAACTTGTAATTTATTTCTTAATTAAAGTTATTGGTTTGCAATGTGAACTAGCAGTATACATGATGTCAAAGTTTTCCATGTTACTGTCTCAAAGTTATTGGTTTGCAATGTGAACTAGCAGTATACATGATATCAAAG